AACCAGTTGGGGTCCGCGCGGACCCCAGGTGGGCGTTTCAGGGTTAATAATATGATTATTATTCGAATCATCATCATCATCATCATCATCATCATCATCTGAATGAATAAAATTCAAATGACGAAGTTGAAATACTCATATCACCCTGTGCGCTATTCGTGCGTGAACATCATGCTGGTGCGCATTGGCACGCGAAATGTAATGCATGTAACACTGAGCGCGTGTTACGTCATGCTGACTAGTGTAATATAAGCAAAAATGATGTAGACAAAGGTACTACTGTCTAATGTTGTACCTTTTGTGCTTACGTCACGTCCGGTGCGCGTGACTGAGCATCTTGTACGTCACGCGCGCCAATAGCACACAGTATGATATGGGTAAATAAACAAATGATAGCAGTATAAGTTCATCGAAAGTACAATGAATGAACAATAATAAGATATTCAATAGAGTTAATTTGTTTTTCAGTAGGAATAGATAGAAAAACTAATGAATCTTCATCTTCAAAGTAGTGTGAGATGTAAAATGTTCTTAGTTTTGATAAAGTAAAAACTATGTAAATAGTTTATAATGGAAGCCGAGATAAAGCAGATAAATTATTCAGAAATAATCTAAAATAGATCACGTATCATACAATTAAGTTCAAATGGTTCAAGTCCAATAAATGAAGAATTGATAGTCAATAAAAAAGAAAACCTTGATTAATTTCTAATGAAAATTTTATTTGAATAGAAAAGATTTGATGTTTATTTAAAAGTATTATTTATTTATAATTATTCATAAAGTTTTACTTTCGATTTTAAAGCATTCATCTGATTTTTAAATAAAAGAGATGATGAATTCATCAATTGTTGGAAAGCAATCATTAAGATTTGAAAATGCACGAAAAATATCACATCCATCAAGATAATTATAGATATAATAGAAAAAAAAAGATTTTATCTTCATAATAGGATCCTCTCGATTCGTCCATGATTAGAGAAATTGGTTCCTAATTTTCAGCGAAACATTGCAAAGGCGGCAGTGAGGGTAAGAATAATCAGGATCGAATCGAAAGTAAACCTTCATGATAAATGATTCTTTCAATTATATAGTTTCATTCAATGCTAAACCTAAAACTCACATCCATACTCGAGAGTCCTCTATATCATATTATTTTTTGTCAGAACTTGATTGAAACAGACTTTGTTCTATAGGACGAGAAAGGACATAACTTGATGGTGATCGGATAAGAATGAGACTTTTACTTTTAGATTAACAACTGTCGCATCCGACTCGATAAGCTCTACACAGCAGTTACATTATTTTTCATCTTATAAAGGTTGCGCTAGCCGTATTTATATCTGTTTCATTTCGTGTTATTTTATTCAACGACATGTATTAGTTTTTGTTTTATTTTTTTTGGGTGTATACTAGAAAATTACAAGGAAAAACAAAAATGATTTTGTTTTAATTTTTGTTATTAATTTAAGAATTGGTCGATAAAGTTGAAGTATTAATTCAACTAATTCATCGAGATGTGAATGTTGATAAAATTCTGGATAATCTTTAATTCAAATAAACATCACATGTTTTAAGTAATCTAAAATTAAATTTTACTTGTCAAGATTTGGTTTATCTAATAATTATCGAAGAACTTCAAATAATATAAAAATATGTCCATCAACTTGAAGAAGATGATCAATAAATAAACGAATTGGTTTATACATCGAAGAATTAAATGAATCCATACGATCAGCATCTAATGGTTGAATATGTCAAAATAATCTACGATGCAAAAGTAATTATCGAAATCTCAACTCATGTTTCTCGACTTAGGAACATCGTAGAAAGTTAATTGTCGTTTGCTATTGAAAGAGCATAGTCTGCATTTGAAAAAACATATGACAAAAATTTTCTTAAAAACTAAACAGATGACAAAGTCGTTCATACAAAATTTAATCAACTTTCATACTTACGAAAGTTTCTCAGGAGTTCTTTAACAATAAATAAAACGTCTTTAGTATTTATTTTAATAGAAGGCACTACTTTACATGTGATAGATAGAACATTGAAAATAATTCTTTATTTAGGACTTAAACATGTTGTTAGTAGATGGTAAAATTGATTTATATTTGTATAGAATTGCATGCTGTTTCAAAGAATGTGTTTTAAGAAAAGGAATAAAAATTCGTTCAGTACCTAGAAACTATTCATTAAGTTAAATGACTTTTTTTTGAAATCAATGAAAAACTTGTAAAGCATTGTGATCATAAAATATATCAAAATAAAGTTTCAAAACAATTTTACAAAGTATACTTGAAAAATCTCTTTCTCTGTTTCTTCTTACAAGAAATTATTGATTGAAAGTTTGATCACGTATGTGAAACTAAGAAATTTTTAAATCTGTTATAAAACAGAAAAAAAAAGACAATAACTAATGATTATTTTCTATACGATCATCATCTAAAAAAAATAGACAGACAGAAAATAATCAAGTCTACTTTTTCTTAAATTATAAAATTTTCTAACTCCATTTTTTTTTCTTTTGAAATTTAAAACGAAAAACAAGGTTATATCACTGATGTAAATTTACGTTTCCCTTTTATTCAATTGCAATCACATTCCATGTCTTAAACGATTTGAATTAGTTTGTTTCTATGATGTGAATCACTTATATTTGTGTGATCTAAGTCGACAAGTAAATTGTTTTGAATTCGATCATAGCTTGACATACAATTGTCGAGAATTGGGTCCTTGCTAAAATGGTAGTGAATGTTTTCAAGATGATTTAAAGTGGCAAAAATCGGCATTTTGTGGCTGTCTTGACTGTTGTTATGGATCGAGATGCTAGTTTTCTACGAAAGGAACAAGTCTCTCACTAAATACTATTTTAGGCTACCAGATTCGTCCTAATATTGGATTTCATCGACAGTCTATCGTTGTCAAAGTCGCCATTGCATTGAGCACAATAATACTTGTTCTGGGTTTCTTCAACAATCTTTTCTCATTGATGATCTTTCGACTATAGAAGATTCAAGTTGTCGGCGATGGTATATATTTGTTTGCTCTTTCGATTACTTCTCTGGTCACTCTCAGTGTAGTTAAACAAACAAGTTCACAAAAAATTAGATAGGTTTAGTTATTTCTGATGGACTTTAAAAAAAATTTCTTTTTCGATTCGGTCCGATTTGGTTTCAGACACTTCAGTTTTAGTTCGGTTTAAATTTTGAAAAATCTGATTTGTGCCTATCTCTGGTTCATTAGCTCCTTGACGTTGATCGAAGGTTTTAGATCGTTCTAGAAAGTTTGGATTCTCTCTAGAATACGGCGGAAAAGTCTTTCTGTTTGCCTTTTGCCCTTCTTCTATTGACAGAAGGGAGTCGAAAGTTCAAATTTAATCATACTTTTACTATTCTAAAGAGTCAGAAAAAAAAAGAAAACAATAAAGAAAAATATTACGATAAGATAGCGAATTAAAGCGCTCAATTAAGAAAGTGTATTTTTCGAACGACTCTGTCATATTTTCGTTTGAATGAGCTCTGAAGTAAGCACCGAAATAAAAAAATGTAAGTAGAGGCGGAATGAACGAAAGAAACTAATCAACCAAGAACAATGCAGACTCTCTTGCTGATTTCATACATCCGAACGAGAAGGAAATTATCAAGCGAAGTGAAACTAAGATAACCAAAAAACTGGAACTAACAATCAAATGCTTGTGATAGTGAAAGTGCATTTTCAAATGTTCTCTGTACGTGATCTCTTTCTTTGCTAATGTACATTGCTTGGTAGCATTTACAACGATGCCAATAACTGAGATGATCTTCAGTGAGAAAGGAATAATCAAATGAAAAATATTGATAAATGAATTGAAGATTTCAAGTTCGGATTCGGTTCGTTTTCGCTCTCTGGTAGCTACATCTAAAAATTCTTTAATCTCTTGCTCTTTTTTTTCCATATGTATTGTACAGGTGAAGAGTATTTTAAGTTGATAGTCATTGTAACGATGCAAAATTTTTTACTATGTGATGTCCAAAGTACACCAACATTTAATACATTAGTAATACAACAATAATTCAACCACAATGATGGATAATCAATTAGATATTCAACTAGAGAAGCTAAAAATCAATGAAAAATATTGTTTTTTTTTTTAAAGTAAGAATGTTTCAAAAGTTCAATTTCACCAATTAAGAAACACTCATCTCAACCGCTATTTATATTATTCATTTCAGATGATTCACCTTCAGTTTCACTTTCACTCATATCACTTATTTCAATTGTTTCACTATCATTTTTAGTTGAATATGGATTTGTATCAGCAATTGATGTTGGTTTACGATCAATACCAACTGTTTTCTCTTCTTGAAGACCATGCTCTACATCTCGATCTACTTCTGAACACGTTATCAATCGTTTTATTCTCAAGTTTGGGAATATTCCATAGATTTGACAATTTATTGAATATTTATTTTTTTATTTCGAAAATCATAACCAAACAGTTAGTCCACAACCTTCTTCTTCAACAACAATTAGAGGTTTCATATGAGATGATAAACATAAAATACGACTATGTAGTTCTTTGATAGATGCCCGGTAAATATCAAATATCGATTCCAAGAATGTCAAATCTTTATCATCTTCATCATCGTCATAATCTTCATCGTCGTCATCATCTTCATCGTCAATAATAGGAACAGTAGGATCATTAGTAAGATTGATGAGAGCAGGATCAAACTCAATACAATGGTCAATAGAATCAGGCTTTGGTATTCCACTTTTTCTTCGAAAACAAATACCAAAATGAACGAATATTGGTACTGTTTCTGCAATAATCTGACAACTAATATCATCAAGACCTGTATTCATGTCATTCATAACGATATGTAATGAGGTGAGCATCGGTAAGGCTGAAAGTGAGCGTAATATAGACCAATTGCTTGAGTCGAAGTTCGGCTTATTAGCATGAAGTAGAATTTGAATAGAACGAATATTAAGTGGAAATGAAGAGAAGTTTTTCAATGCAATGAGATTATTTATTAATGTAACATGACGAAGAGCAAGAAGATTTAAACCAGTTGGCCAATCATGAAATGATAAATGAACTGTGTTAACATGATTTAATTGTACAACATGAGGCATTGAAATAATCGATGGTAATGAGTCATTTTGTGATATACTAAGTGTACGAAATCGAGATGAACTAATAATGGATGAGTACGATGAAGGTAGAGCAAATACTTCTACTTTAGTTATATATTGAATCGGTTCAATCGAGTCGAAGAATTGCTCAAATGCCCATGGCAAAGTGTACCAAACATCGTAAGCCCATGAATAATTATTGAACTAGAATAAAGAAAGATTATTGCATCAATAGCTAAGAAAAAAAATCGAAAATTTAAATTTTGATCATTTCTTAATTTCTCATCAGGATGTTGTCAAATAAAAATTGTGTAATAATACAATTACTCACATAGCAATTGATATTTGTCAATTCTTGGTACTCTCGGGATAAACAACTTAGAACACAGGTTACACCAACTATTTCCCGTGGATGAAAACGACTGCCATGTGGTATATGATGACTTAGTTGAATACCTAGAGAAGTATCATCTATAATAAAAGCGAATTGAACATCGATTTGACGATCATCAATGAAAAGTGACGATCTATTGATACAATTTAAATGATCGACAGTAATGAAAATAGCCAAATTCATTCGTCGAAGTACGGGCATTACATTTGAAGCTGTAAGTGATTCAATAGTTGACCATTCAATGCTATTATAGGAAAATATTGATTGAACCAAAGTGAATGTATGCAAATTGATCATTTTAGACAACACTAATCCTTTAGGTAAACTATTTTTTCTTCTCGCATGTAGACTACGCATTGTTACATGCAATTGTTCTAATGTAGTTGAAAGTGTCTCTCTTGATATAACATGACATAAATGCGGTATGTCTTCCATCGATATACGAAGATAATTGAGAGAGCTTTGTATTGTAGTAATGTACCAATTCGTGAGGTCGAATCCAACATCTTGACCCAAATCGAGCGACTGAAGTGCACTCAAATGTGGCAAAACATTTTTCACAAGTGTTGGAAGACGTCCTCTAGGGTGCAAAATATAACCCGTAAAGCCCGTCTAAAAAGATAAAAATAATTAATCAAATTCATTAGTCAAGAAAAAAAAAACGGTCTTCGCATGAGAATATTGGAGAATTCATCAAACGACAATTTTTTTGGATGAGTGTTTTGAGCACTACAACAGTGATATGTGAAATGAGCACCAAAAAATAAGACAATTGAGCAGCAACTTAATTTATGTGAAACCAAAAAAAAATTCTGGATTTTTTTTGTAGTCGAGTATAAGAAATTAAATTAGATAATTATCTTATTTTTCGGTGCTCATTTCACATATCACTGCTGTGGTGCTCAATTGTTACTTCTTTTTTCCATTTTTTTTGGCAATTCGTGTTTTCATCTATAGAAGTCACTCATTGACGACTCATAATGAGATTGAACATTGCTAATATATACTATTAATAACTTAAAGTATAGAAAAATAGAGATGAAAATATGACTGAACACTATTTTCCATTCTATATCTATGACATTGGACTGTAATTATTCAATTCTTTATTCTAATTAATGCAAAAAAAAAAATCTTGATGTCAAATATATGGTAGCATGAAAATAAGAAGATACTAAATAAGATATTTTCAATGATTTTTTTTCTCACTTGAATATTAGTTTGAAGATAATATTGAGTGATACATACCGACATAAATAAATCGTTTGTTTCCAATGTAAGATGTATGAGTGAAGTTGAATGCCGAAGGATAAAATTGGTAGCATCTATAAAGTCACGTAAACCATATAATCGTAATGTAATCAAATGAGGCAAATAAGGCCAGCGAGAAAGTTGAAGGGGCGATGCTTCTATGTCAATGATGAATATTTGAATTTGATTCAATGGAAGTATAGTAAGAAGTGTATCGAATTTTGACAGACATGCTGATGATAAATTGATGTGACGAAAGAAACCTCGTTCATTGATTATTGTTTGAATACGATTATTTAAATTGGTAAATGCCCAAAGTATATCAATTGAAGATAAATAATTAAACAGATCAATAAAGAATAGATCCGGTAAATCGTCGAATTGTGTAATTAATGCCATCGAATGAGGAAGAAAATAAAAATGATTGTACCTTTTATAGCTGTGTTCAACAATGTGCATCATCGCAAAATATTTCCATTGTTGTTTATATTGACCTCGAACAATGAACAAGAATCTTTTGTTCAATGTGTTCGTTACC